ATTTTTAAAATATATTTTTATTAATAAAAAAAATAAATATATTTTTTAAAGGAGCGCAAGCACAATTAAATTACGAAGAAAATCGAAAGGTCAGTTTAATTATATGAATGTTATTACTACAATAGATGTATACGTAAAAAGTAGACTTGAGTGGCAGCTATCAAAGAAATGTAGACGTAGGTTAACAGTCATGACATTTGAGATGGAAGACTGAATGATTTAAGTTTTCAAGAAAATTTACTTTTTTTTATTACTTTTTAGAAGAATATTCAAATATAAAAATTTTTAAATGAATAATATTTAAGTTTTTAAATAATTATGCTACAATAATATTATTGTAGTATTGTTATAGATACTCAAATTATTACTATAATAGTATCACAGAGTGATAAAAAGGCCGTGAAGAGGAGATGCTGGAGATTTTCTCCACGAAAACGGAGAAAAATTAAGGGTCCTTAATGATTACAAATCCTAAAAAATTAACATTTTTACTAACAAAATATAAAATTTTAAGACTGTTTTTTTATTAATAAAGAAATATTCTACATATTTCATTTCTTTAATAAAAAGAAATAAGAAAAACAGAAATTAAAAGGGCCCGCTCTACCTCCGGGTTTCATATGAGCTGTCGATGGTTCCATCTCCGTGCACGTACTGTACAATACATTACAAGCAATACATTGTATCTGCACAGTGATTTTTTATAATCACTCTGTTACTACTTACTATACTAGTATAATTATATTAATTAATAATAAAATAATATAATTGTGAATAGATTTATATTATTATAGCCTACATAGATTATTTTACTATTTTGTAAAACTAGTTGAGTTCAATAAAACAAAAAATATTTATGTTACACTGCATATTTAATGATTGTCTTGAATATTATTTCATNATTTTTAAAATATATTTTTATTAATAAAAAAAATAAATATATTTTTTAAAGGAGCGCAAGCACAATTAAATTACGAAGAAAATCGAAAGGTCAGTTTAATTATATGAATGTTATTACTACAATAGATGTATACGTAAAAAGTAGACTTGAGTGGCAGCTATCAAAGAAATGTAGACGTAGGTTAACAGTCATGACATTTGAGATGGAAGACTGAATGATTTAAGTTTTCAAGAAAATTTACTTTTTTTTATTACTTTTTAGAAGAATATTCAAATATAAAAATTTTTAAATGAATAATATTTAAGTTTTTAAATAATTATGCTACAATAATATTATTGTAGTATTGTTATAGATACTCAAATTATTACTATAATAGTATCACAGAGTGATAAAAAGGCCGTGAAGAGGAGATGCTGGAGATTTTCTCCACGAAAACGGAGAAAAATTAAGGGTCCTTAATGATTACAAATCCTAAAAAATTAACATTTTTACTAACAAAATATAAAATTTTAAGACTGTTTTTTTATTAATAAAGAAATATTCTACATATTTCATTTCTTTAATAAAAAGAAATAAGAAAAACAGAAATTAAAAGGGCCCGCTCTACCTCCGGGTTTCATATGAGCTGTCGATGGTTCCATCTCCGTGCACGTACTGTACAATACATTACAAGCAATACATTGTATCTGCACAGTGATTTTTTATAATCACTCTGTTACTACTTACTATACTAGTATAATTATATTAATTAATAATAAAATAATATAATTGTGAATAGATTTATATTATTATAGCCTACATAGATTATTTTACTATTTTGTAAAACTAGTTGAGTTCAATAAAACAAAAAATATTTATGTTACACTGCATATTTAATGATTGTCTTGAATATTATTTCATTAAAAACTGAGGAATTAAAATTAAATAATAATATTTAATAGTATTATTAAAATTTTAAAGCAGTAGTCATTCGATATCTAAAAAATGATTTTAAACTATACCTTCTGGATTTTCCATCCATACTTGATTGATGAATATAAAAATAAGATTCAAAATAAAGTAATGCTTCATCGAATCTATGAATAATTAAAAATTAAATTTTTAAATATACTTAATTTATATTTTAGATAAACGCTGTGTGCATTTACTATATTAAAATAAAAGATAAGTATTAAAGTTTGGCATACCGTGTCTATGAAACACTACGAATTCAACTACTTAAAAGAAGAGAATGCGAAAAGTTATTTGTCGATGGAGTTTTTTAAAGGTAAATTTTCCGGATAGAATAACTGAAAAGTAATAGCCTTCCAGGAAAATTGACCATGAAAACTATGTCACGAATTATGTCATTCTGGTTGTCCTTATCGAGGTATTATATGCAAATAATTATATGTTGGAATAAGCTATTCGTATTACTTCTAAGGACATTTTTTATTAAACATTTTTACGAATTACAGTGAAGAATATTTAACTAATTCAAAAAACAAATCATGTAAATTATGAATTAATTTATATACTGAAAAATTAAATTATAGTTAAAATTATCTGTAATGTTTTAACGTTTTAGTAAAGTTCAGTAAGGTTTATTGGAGGAATTGCGTGTTATTTATTAGAATTTCATAAAAGAAAAAATATTAATTCGTCTTTCAGGCGAATAAACTTAAGATTTTATATAATATTTTATTGTGTAGAGAATATTTAGCGAGTATTTAATAGTAAATATGTAAAAATAATTGCTAAGGTTTAAAAAATTTTATCGATATTCCTTTAAAATCACTTAACGACCGGAAATTCATCCTCCCACTTTACAAGTAGTCTACAAATAAAACTACTTGTGCATTTTTTTTTTTTTTCGTACGAGCGAATTCACCGAAATGTAGAACCAGTTTTTACCCCTTTTATTCTTTATTTTAAAGTGACAAACTTACTTAATGTCAGTTTAAAATGTAAGAAAAATAATTGAACATAAATAATACATGTTTTAACACTGAATTATTTAAAATATTACTGTATATAAATATCGGTCATAATATGAATTTCTATTTCAGATTAATATATAATTCAGATAATACAGCAAATAAATGAAATATATTTTATCCAAATGTAAATTTCTCCAAATGCCTCAAGACATTTGTTAAGCNATATATTAATTAATATTCAAGATAAATATAAACACCTACGTTTAACATTAAAAAAGGGAATTTTTAATAATTATTATTAATGACATTTGACAAAATACGAGTTTATACACTTTTATAATTTGTGTAAAGTAAGAGATTTTTACTCTTGTCACGTAGCAAATAATATTTATATTTACATATTTATTACAGAAAATGGCAAATATTTAAAAAGTGTGAATAATTTTTAATCAGAAATCAAATTCAAATGTAATTAGTTTAGAAATTAAACTCGACTAATACAGTTATAATTATAATAATTATACTTTGAGTCAAAGACAAAGAAGAATAGACTAATACTCTCTCATACAACTAGAAATTTTGTGGGATTTTCGATATACTGTAATTCTGAGAAAATAAAATTGTTTTAAATTTAGGGAATCGAAAATACTTCGATTGCAATTAAATTACTTTTCCAAAAATTCATCATTACACAGACGTATTTAAGTATATGTTACAGTTTCCGGAATGGCCAAGACGTTAAGACGTTAGCCTGCCTCTCTGGGAGACCCAGAATAGAATCTGAACAAATAACCCCAGGAATTTTTCGTAGACGACAAATCGGGTCCCGTACCTCACCACCCATCCATCCCAGTGGCGCGTTATTCTATGGGCAAAAAGGTCAATTGCCTGAGGTCCTCATCAGCAGGGCCCCAACCAATCTTTTATAAAGTCATTACTATAGTAAGAATATCGAAATTTAAATTCGAGCCATATCTGGGGACCCTAGATTGCCGGCATGGCGTTAGGTCGAGCATCAGGTCGCGTTTAAAAAAAGGATAACGGGAATGCTCTCTAAAAATTCTCCCGAAGAAAAATGTTTGAAGTCAACACTGCATAGAGCCCCTAATTCAAATTTTCCTGGGTCCCCGTGACGCTGTAACGCGCCACTTAACAATGCCCCATTTTAGACCTTGCCGAACCCAACTGAAAGAGGATCCTCTTGTGCCCATAGGGCGGAAAGAGCCATTTCCCAAAAAACTACATGTTACAAGTAAATAAAAAAATAAATAATTCTGATTTATACTTTAAACAAAAAACTAAAAAAATATCTTTGTCATATTTATCCTAAACAAGCTTTATAAAACACTTTATATATAATACCAAATTAATAAAAGAATTTGAAATATTCATACGCATTTATTATTTCGTGAGATCGACTATTCAATATTTCTTATTGTTAATATACAAATACATTAACGATATGAAATATTGAATAATATAATAATATATGCATGATTAAATTAATATATAGTTGTATGCTTGTTCAACAATAACTTAATAGTAATGTACTATTACTTTATCTATTTATTAGGTTATCCATTAGGTTTTATGTGACTGTCTATACAAAGTTAGCATGGATAGTTACATAAAACAAACAGACATTTAACTATTCTCTACAAATTCCTTTCATTTTAGTAGTCGATACTTTTCCTCGAGGGATAAACCCAAATTTCATTTAAAAATAAAACGTGGCTTGAAGCATTTAAAGGGAAATATTTTTTAAAAAGTGTTTTAAAATTCCTTCCTTGAGAAAAGTTTTTTTCTTAACATTTAAATACATAATGAAGATGAAATATATTATTTAATTAGTGGCGTTACGTTATTTATTTTAAAATTTAATTGAATAATTTTCCTTTTTTACAAAGACTTTTCTACAATACATAAATGTTGAAAAGCAATGTGAATTGAGATACTCGTTATATTCATGGATCAATAGATATAATCTAAACTGAAAAAAATATATATATACAATGGTATTAAAAGACTCTTATCGTAATTTAATTCATATATTCTGAATTCTGGTTACGTTCATGTAATTAGATTGATGCAGAGAAATTCAAGAAAATTAGTAGAACATACTATGCCAATTTGAATAGAACGGATAATACAGAATAAAAGTACAATTTGTATTCATTGTAATCCTCTAAGCATTCTCAATCAAGAAATTGTGAACTTTTTAATGATTCTGATAACTTATCTAATTAGTACATCATTCGTTAATTCGCATTCGTTAGTTATTCTGGGCAATTTGTTTTATGATAATTAGTTGCAGAGCTTTTATTATTTTTCTAAAGAGCTAATTATTATTATTCGCTAGTCGAGAACCACTTTTATTTGTAATTTTTGTAATTTTCTAAATACACGAACAGATCTTAAAATCCATATCATTCGTAACAAATGAATAACTTCAATTATAAGGTAATGTACTATTACTTTATCTATTTATTAGGTTATCCATTAGGTTTTATGTGACTATCCATATAAAGTTAGCATGGATAGTTACATATTTGTAATCAATGCTTCATTTTAGAATTGTTGTAATGATGTAACATATTTCATATCAATAATTTTCCATAATCAAGCATGCGATATTTGTTCCTGATTATCCAATAAAATATATACATTAGCAATATAATTAGACCGTTTAGATGTAAACATACACTATATATTTATTTAATATTAAATAAATTAAAAAAAACTAATGTTATATTAATTATAGACTTATATTTATCGCAAAATATTTACATTTATTAACATGCTTACGTTTATAAATAAAAACGGTAAACGAATTTATAAAGCTTTTTTTTATAGATATTTAAAAAATAAATTTTAAGTAAACCGGTGTTTGTGACTGCATTATAATTTATCTTAAAATTTTGTCCATCGTTTAAAATTACAACATGAATCTTAATATATAATTTATTTCTACTTAGAAGATTATAAGAATTATATACTGTATAATGATTATTATCCCATGAAAATCAATAATTAATGAATAAACAATGAATATATTTATTTTAGGAAACGGACTGTAATCGAACAATTTATCATAGATAATTTATTGCATAATTATTGAGAATTATCTATGATAAACTGTTAGAATTGTAAATTAATATAAGGCGAATTGGTCACTTCTAATTGTCTTTTAATTCATATTCGGTACGAGTACATGCTATTCGGTGAAGCAATGATGCCCTAGAATATTCATTACTGTCTTATGTATGACTAAATTATTCAGTCATTGATACAAATAACTTTAATTTAAATATTTAAATGTTAAATATCGTTTATTCTAAAGTAAATTTGTAATAGACTAAATAAATGTATTGAAATCTTCAATAACAGCTTTATAAATAAATATTTAAAAAGATAGTTAGTTGTTAAAACCAAACTAGGTTTTCCAAAACTATTTTTAAAAAGACAAAATAATAACCAAATAAAAACGAAGTTACTTCTCTTCAATGCCTTTATTGTAATAAATATATTTCGATAATCTTCATCAGTATCACGTATTGCATTTTTTGACAGTCAAGATGAAGTTTTTTTTTTTTTTAATTTATGTTATACCTTATTACTTTCTAGTGATTTTATAGTTCTATAAATATCCTATACAATGAAAATATATTTTCAAATATATATAACTTTTTAAAGCTTTAGCAAATTTTTACTGATTGCATATTGCAATCTTCTCTAATGGATAAATGGACAGCTAATTTAGAAGAGTACAATGGGAAGAACACAACACGAAGAACAGATGAGATACTGTTGAAACAGATTTACAATTGGAGATAATCGGAAACAAAGAGAAAGAAGACAAGAAAAATGTAAGGATAGTATCAAAGAAAATCAATGTCTCTTAATTGCAATAGGTTGCGCATTTAATACATGAAGAGAAGAATAAAATACATATTATTGAAATGTCTTTTTAAACTTTTATCTAACGTGCTTTGTACGTCCTCAAATCTTGCAACTCAATAATTAAGATAGATATATCCTTAAAGTTTCAGACTTCTAAGTGTGATGACAATGTATTTTAATGATGTTTTAGGGTTCGGTTTACACTACTCTCTTTCCTTCTCCGAAACTCGATAAACATAATCATATAAAAAATTGTGTAAATGCACTAGCGATGTATATAGTTGAGGAGCAAACACTATTAAAATATTTTTAAAAACTGCTTGTCAATTGTTTAGTCATTGTAGTTTATAAAAATTTACAGTCTAAATGCTTTATACATATCTATTTGATAACTTTAACAACTAAACATGATGCATGCTTATGATTAATTTACTCCAATGCCATTTTCTAAATAGAAAATCTTTTGCTTTGTCCTCGAGACGTAACTAGAGCTTCGGGATTCAACTCCTCGCCATTATACATAAAGTAATTACAAGGAATGTCGCTTTCATTTTCAAGAAAATTATTTTATTTGTTTGTACCGAAACTTTAACAAAACACTTAATGACAATAAAAATAAACTGTAGTTATCAATGTTCTAAAATAAAATTAGAAATAAGTTTATTTTGATTAAATTAATATCAGTTCATTATTAGGTTGTTATATTTAGCTATTATACAGTAAAAAGTCGATTATCCATCACTCTTTTAACTGCCACAATGCTAAATTCAGTTCTAGGGAGTAGAATTATGTACTGTATATTTTCTTTTGCTATTGCTATAATGAGTACTATGTATTTTGCTGATTTTTACTGTATGTAAACTTCTATTTCTGTATAAATACTGCATTGTACAGTAAATAAACGGATGATTGTACAGTACTGTATGTGTAGAGTTGTGTATTAATTGTGGATTGTAAATAAATTATTTTTTACTATTAGGGGGAATTCTATTATCCATCTATTCTCGTATCCTTCTCGGCATCGGTCTCGATCCCTGTATAAGAGTTTCTACTGTAATAAATATCTTAATATCTAAATATAACAGTCTCGTGCTAATATGATTATTTTACATTTATGATCTAAGAGCAAGTTTATTTAGTAAATTCTTTATATTATAAATGTGCTTATCAATATTAAAGACAGCGTAATTATCAAAATACAGGGTGTTTTTTAGAGGTAAACAAATTTAAAATGAAATAAAACACGTAAAAATAAAGTTAATGGCCACGGTGTTGGCTTTATTTAAAAGATAATTTTATGCCATTAGTGTTTAAACATGATTTCGGGCATATGGGCGCCATGGCTGGCTTGAATGAAGCGCAATCGGGAAGAACAATTTTCGACCACTTTATTGAGCAACTGGGCCCGTATATCGGCAATACGCGGTGAATGTTGAGTAACTTACATCCATTAAAAGTAGGGCTGTGGAGTCGCGTAAAAATCTACCGACTTCGACTCCGATTCCGACTTTTCCTTACCATCCGACTCCGACTCCGACTAGGGGCAGACTTGTTACCGAAAGAGACCCGGAAATTCTGATGTCATCACGTGACCTCAGAATAAAATATTCAATAGAGTTGTAATAAAGATAGAGCGTAGAAACTTTTTATTCCGAAGCTAAAAGACTTCTCTAAGTAATATGTAAATATGTATTCGATAATTTTTACTTTTCCGGCTGTTATATATAACAGAGGAGAAGTGTAGCGCTCGGTCAAAAAATGACCCCTCCCAAATTTTTACATTTTTGGACACCTTGAAATTTCGAGATATGCAAAAGATTCGAGGTTTTTTCTATATGTGTGGATGTTTGACTGTGTATGGGGGGGGGCATGATTTCGTTCACCCTGTTTGAAGCCTAATAATTTCTGTGGTCAGAGTGGTCAGAATCGGAGTCAGATGGTTTAACATAGCAGTTAGTTATTTAACATCAAAGTGGTTGAACTAAATCATGTCCCCATATACATTCTAACATCTTAGGCGAGAACATCTTAACGGGTTTTACTGTACTATTATAAAGTGGCAAAAAAGCTTACTTTGAGGGTAAAGACGAATTTTATTTTATTTTTTTAAATTTTGAACGCTAATAACGTGTAAAATATTCATTAAGAGATATGACACATGTTTTTTTTTTTTTTAATTTATGTTATACCTTATTACTTTCTAGTGATTTTATAGTTCTATAAATAGCCTATACAATGAAAATATATTTTCAAATATATATAACTTTTTAAAGCTTTAGCAAATTTTTATGATTGCATATTGCAATCTTCTCTAATGGATAAATGGACAGCTAATTTAGAAGAGTACAATGGGAAGAACACAACACGAAGAACAGATGAGATACTGTTGAANAAAAACCAAAAAAAAAACTTGGAGGGTCAAATTTGACACGATTCCAATACTTTTCCGTATTGGAATCGTGTCAAATTTGACCCTCCAAGTTTTTTTTTTTGTTTTTTTTACCAACTTGTTATGTAAGTTATATAAAACGGAAAAGTTTTATATAACTTACATAACAAGTTGGTAAGTAATAAGGAATCGGCGGATTTTTTGACGACTCCGACTCCGACTCCGACATCAAAACTCCACGACTCCGACTCCGACTCCACAGCCCTGATTAAAAGTCACTGTTTGGTGTGCTTTATGGGCAGGTGGAATCATAGGTCTATATTTCTTTAAAGATGATGCCGGCCAGAATGTTACTATCAATGGAGAGCGCTTTTGGAGCCATGATTGCTGACTTCTTCATTCCTCAGTTGAATGATATTGATGTGGCAGAGTTTTGGTTTCAACAAGATGGCGCAACATGCCACACAGCGCGCGACACCATCAATTTATTGCGGGAAACATCCGATGAGCGCATAATTTCGCGTAATAGACCTGTGAACTGGCCTCCACGATCGTGTGATCTCACACCTATGGATTACTTTCTTTGAGGATATGTAAAGTCACTAGTCTACGCCGATAAAACACAGACGTTGGACCACTTGAAAGTCAACATTCGCCGCGTAATTGCTGATATACGGGCCCAGTTGCTCAATAAAGTGGTCGAAAACTGTTCTTCCTGATTGCGCTTCATTCGAGCCAGCCATTGCACCCATATGCCCGAAATCATGTTTAAACACTAATGGCATAAAATTATCTTTTAAATAAAGCCAACACTATGACCATTAACATTATATTTACGTGTTTTATTTCATTTTAAATTTGTATACCTCTAAAAAACACCCTATATATGCCATAAACAAAATAATAAGCAATTTAAAAATTAGTTTATTTCCTTCGCTATTCTTTATTAAAAGATTAAACTCAAAAAATGAGAAATAACGCGAGTTTTTCTTTAAAAAAGTTTATTTTTTATAATATAAAACTAAATTATTTATATATAATTTTTTATGTTATAATTACATCTCAATGAAGAAAAAAAATGATGCTTTGAAATTTATTGTTAATGTATAATTTGTAATTTAAACTATAAATTTATTCTTCATTAATAATTACAAAGGTTCAGTTAGAAATGTTCATTGTAGGTTCATTGTACATTTATATTTCATTAAAGAATTTCTACAAAATATTTAATTAACCTTATATTTATTATAAAAATACAAATTTTCGTCTAAAGGACGATCTTTAGTACGAATACATTCGCATTTCTTACAATCAAAATAAAATATTTAAATAATTAAATTAGTGTTATCATTAATCCATTGTATATAATTGGATATTTTTGTATAAATTCCAGGATATCCAGCTCTGGCACATTGATACCCGAAAGATACTACACCGACCACAGCCCAATTAAGTGATGGAAATTCTCTTGTCATTAAAGGACCACCAGAATCACCCTAAAATATGAATAAATTAGTGTATTATAATTGTAATCGATTTATGAATTTTCATACACAATTAAAAATTTACTTGACACGCGTCTTTTCCTCCTTCAAAAATTCCTGCGCATAAAAAGTCCTGTGTTACACCTTTAGGTATCGCCGATGATCGTAATTTACTATAGGAAGCGTTACATTCTGAAGTAGGAATGACATCGAGAGTTGCTTCTTGAAGAATATCACTCGAACGTCCGGCTATTTCAATAGAACAGTAATTATACGCATGAAATTGCAACACAAATTACATTAAAAACTATATTTAATTATATAAATATTTGATATATGTAACTATTAAATCTGAAATATTAAAATTTTTTAAAAACTCAAAAAAGACAAAAATTTTTAAACACACAAATACAGTATTATGTTTAATAAGTAATGCTTTATTTTATTTACCAAAAGACGTATCTCCCCAACCAAGTACAGTTACTTTTCTATCTAAATAATCAATTTGTTCGGTTGGTAAGCAAGCAGGCATGAATTTATCATTAAATAAAAGCGGATTTTTCAATGTTATTATGGCAATGTCATTATAATGTTGTCCGTTTTTAAAATCTGGATGTAGCTTTACATTTTCCACCTCCTCATTTATTCCTAATTCTTTTTTAATTCCTTGCCTTTTGACTAAATATTCTGATGCGGGTCTGAAATTAAAATATATATTTTGTGGTTATTCATTGTAATTTTAGTAAAATACTTTATTTTTATATACATTAATGTTAAAATATTATACATTCCGACGATTAATGATTTATTAATTAAATCCTACGTTATAATTAGAAAGATAAATACGAGTTTTCTAATGAAGAAAATGAAACTTAATTTCTTAAAAGCAAAAAATATTTTTCTTAAAAATAATACTTAATAAGCAAACTTGTCTATATAATTTACATATGCTATTACGAAATATTAATTTAAAACATACTTAGTATTTTCTCCGAAACAGTGGGCAGCAGTTAAGATGTACCGATCGCTGATAATGCAACCACCACATACATAGCCTTCACCTAAAGGTGTTTTCTGATGAATAGACACCTAAATAAAACATTAAACTTAGTAGTATACACGATATATTAACACATTCAACAAAATACTAACATACCATCCAAGGCCAAGAAAACGGTTCTGCATCTTTACCACCTACAACGACTTTAACGTAAGGTGGACGTGTTATAGACCTTTTCACATACATTAATTTAGGATCAGTAGGTCGTCTACCGCACACTATTCATATTTTAAATTCATAAGTTAATTTACTATATATTGAAACTGTTTAAATATATTAATAATAAAATAACCTGGATTGGCAAGAAGTTTAACTGGCTTTCTCTCAGAATGATGTGTGCAACAAATGACAGGTAAATGTCCCTCCCAACTACATATGGTAAGTGATTCTACTTTCAATTTTAAACCGGTGCATTTTTGAATATTTACACATTTACCTTGTATTCCGGAATCAGTTCTGCATGATTCATCTGTAGACTTATCGGATTCAAATGTTATTGCGGAATCAGATAATGCAACTGTAATTAATTTATAAAAAAGTTAAATAAAAGGATATTTATTAAATCAGTATTTAACATCAGATAAATTTCATATAGTTTTTTAAAAACTAATATACCTATATAAATTATTTTGTTTAAAATACTTTCATTTATCAACTATATGTAGTAGTAATAGTAGTAAAACTGAGCGGACGGATCGCCGATGCGGTTAAGATATCAGATCTTCTGGAGGATCAGGATCGAATCCGGCAAGCATCTCCAGAAATCTTTCATAAGCGATCTATCCCGGATATATCGGACCTCGTTCCTTATTTCTCAGCCACCCTAGTGGTCCTATATAGTAAGAGGTTGGCATTTTCTACGATTGAATTCTATTGGTTAATGAACTCGCATATTATATGAAGGCCATGCTTTGTCGGCAATTCCCTACTTCTGCTATACGATAGTAGCTATTCAGATACTTGCGGGGTTCTTTTCATCAAGAAATCAACAATAATATCACATTGCGGAGCGTTTGAATACACAAATTCACCGAAAAAAGGTAAGGTAATGAAAATGTTTCCGAAGGACCCAGAAAGAAAAAAGATTGATTTGGGCAGCAAATCTTTTTCTTTTCTGCTTAACAGGGAGATAGATTGTTTTTATTAAGTTTCCTTTTAAGTTAACAGAGACAATTGCTATTTGTGTGAGATAAGTGTACAAAAATCAAATACTTTTTGTTAATTATAATTATCTTTAAAGATAATTATGGTCATGTACTGTACTTCAGATGCATTAATGACAGGATAAATACTCGTACTATCGAACTTTGTATGACTTTTACTTTATAAAAAAACTTAATTTCTTCAAAACAAACAAAGCTATTTTAGCTTTTAAAACATGAAAATGACAAATGTGGAGCTATTCTTTGTATTTACATAGCTGAAAATTCTTTCTTAAAATTTAAAACTGTTTTTAAAAACAATATTCGATGCTCATTCTATAACTAACAATATTCAATATTATACATAGGGCAGAAGGACTTTAATCACTATAACTTTTCTGATTTTTGACTGTCTTAATTAATGTTATATGTAAGGGAGAAGAGGTTAAGAGTATGCATTACGTGTTTCTCAAATTTGACATTGACTGAAGAGTTTCCCGCGCACACTTTTACTGTTGATGGCAAAGTATGTCGGAGCCAACTTTTTTGTCTGTGAGTCTCCAGGGCATTTATAGTTTAGTAAACATTTTTTTTGTGTTTCCGGAAGTAAGTTTGCAAACTCGGCAACAAGCTTTCTCAGTTTGTTGCCTGGGTTGTGAAAATAGTGTTTGAAGGAATAAAGATAGGGATCGAAGCTAAAGTGTGGGGTAGCTTTCATGTCGGGATGTACAGTACCTGGAGTTACACTCTATCGGCAAGTTAATGGAATTTTGTCTCGGAGGGTAAGAATATTTATAATACTCCCGTCACACACTATGCCGGATACAGTGCCGGATAATACTCAAGTCAAAGATTCTTTCAGGAACATCTCATAGCAGAAGAAAAAGGAGAAAACCGAAAAATAAACGAGCAATTTATTGTGGCATCATCACAATCCCGGGCTGCAATTTTTAGTAGTCTTTAGTCAATGTTGCCAAAATATATGCTTTCCACCTCAAAATAGTAATGATTTGTCCCTGCACATCATACTTTTCCTTTAACAATAGAATCACGCCGGTCATCTGTTTAACACCTTTCAGGGAAAGTATTTGAATTGAAATAACATGACTTTAGGTTTGTATCGGAAGTTTATATACATTTAATCGGGTCTTCCTTCTCCTAAGGTTTCCATATCTGGTCAACTCTTTCATCTATTTTACTTTATTCTCAAGAGTAAGGAAAGACAGACGGATGGACGGACGGACGACAGTGGGAATTTATAGATCCATATTTTTTCAAATTGCAACCCAAAAGGTAAAAATAGAGTGGGCGCAAAAAAGACTTGGATTTGTGAAATATAACTAGCAAGCTTCTACTTCGCGAGTTGATAGGCCTAATGAAGCCGTTTACAGAAAAGTACAGTACAGAAATTAATAAATATATTAAGTTATTTTTGCAATAAATGAAAAATACTATTGCACAATTTCTAACTATTTTGTAAGCAAAAACAAAGTTATTTTTTAAAAATATTCAAATAAATAATATATTCAATTTGTTAAGTAACATAAATATTTGATCTTACCTGTGAATCTATCTGTCCATATATAAAAACTAATTAGTGAGAGAATTATAAACATATAATTCATCATTGAATGCGTTATATTTTATATCCTCTTTTAACCTATTAAGTAAACAATAAAGATATTAACAGTAAACGATCTTTTTTATTTGCACTACAGCAGGATGTTTAACTGTCTCGTCATCGTCACAGGAACTTTAAAAAGGAAATTTCCGAGACCTTCCTTTACGAATATTAATAATTATTTACACAATATTCTGAAATCGGGTTTTTCTATCTACATTACTGCATAATTATCTGAACTGGTTTTATCCAGTCATTCCTCTCACAGATGGATGTCAGATCAACGAGAGTGTACCCTAGGTCTATGACCGTTAAATAAGGATTCCAACGCATCCGCCATGTTCGATCCAAAATATAGTAACTGACTCACGTCATGTTTACTATAGGTTTGGGTAACGTTAAACGCTCATTGGGCTGCAATTTGAAAAATTTGTAGACCAATAAATTCCCACTGTCTGTCATTCCTTAATCTCGACAACTAAGTAAGATAGATGAAAGCCGAGACCAGATATGGAAATATTAGGAACAGGTGGCCTCGATTAAGGACGTTATTTCAGTTCAAAAATTTTTCTCTGAAAGATGTTAGATAGATGACCAGCATGACTCTATTGCTATAGGAAAAGTATGATGTATGTACACGGGCAAAACACTAATTTGAAGAAGAGAGCATATATCTTAAATTAAATAAGTTAAAAATGCGATTAAAAGTTGCAATCCGGCATTATGACATGTCACAATAAATAATTGCTCGTTTTAATACGTTGTTTATATCTATCGCCTTAGTATGGATGGCCACTCGGAAAGTAGTTGTAAAAATAGGCCGGAAGGAGCTAACAAAGTTAAGAATTTTCTATTTTCGAATGATTCCGTACGAAGGAACAGATGGAAAATAGACTGTCTTCGAGCGAATTGGTCTGCACCACTATCTGCTAGACTTTAAACTATTTGAATCATCTTCCGACAGTATATAGAACAAAATATTTAAAATAAAAAAATGTAACCTAAAGATGAGAATTCGATGAGAAAAGTTATTAAAAAATAATATTTCTAAAATAAATTTGGGTGTTAATTTCGTTTACTTGATGATAACGTGGTGCGACAAGCAATAGGGGCAGAGTGATCAGTTTCGTTTAATGATTAATTTCAGGTAAAGTATCAATAATAATGTTAAGAAAATAAATTTGGATTGGTTCGAAAATCACATTGACTAAACACAATACAACATGAAATAGATCGTCAAACGAAACTCCCTACCTTCCGCGCGTGCATCCATAACTTAGATAACTTGTTAACATATTAAACTCAAAATTCGTTTAATTTGTGATGACATTTGTGGCAATATGAAAAACTGGTCCCTATTTAAGTGTTACCAACGTAAAGGAAACCCGGAAATCTCCACGTGGCCATCAGTGTTCAGTGGTTTTATTCACTCGGCCATTTTAGCCTAAAGAGATACTAACTCAAAAATACTTGAATAATTAGGCTATAAGTAATGATCTAACAATATAATATTAATTTTCAAGGTAATTCATTAACTAAAAGTATTAATCATTTTAACTATGGAACGTATTACTCGCATTAACGTATTTTTTTTTTAAATTTGTTTACTACTGTTAGAAAATGTTCATAATTTATACTAATTTTTAAGATATTTATTTTACAGCAAGTTTAATTTTATGACAAAATAAAATTTAATTTTCAAATAATTTCTTGCCTACTTACAAAGTTAAAGTATTGATTATTAAACAGTTTCATTATTAAGTCAATTGTTCGAGTTTTTTTGGCCTAATCTTTTAAAGAACTAAACGAACGAAACTGAAGAATGGCCACACTTCGTTCTTCACAAAAAGAAAACACTTTTTATATACCCCTGAACGAAGAAATGAAAGAAATAGTATGCAGTATTTGCCGATCTGCTTTCAAAAATCCAGTAAAATGTTCTTGTGGCCATACTTATTGCCGAAGTTGTATCATTGTGTGGCTATCTCATAACGAATCCTGCCCGATTTGTAGAAAGAAAACCGATGTTTCAGATCTAAAATCTATGTTATTCGATACTCGTAACACGGGTAAATTTATTATTAGTTATCCTGACAATGATGAAGAAAGAGATGAAACTGTACTCGAAGTACTCAACCCTTCTTTACCAAATTCGCAAATATATGGACCTGACAGAAGAATTAAAAAAATATACCAGTTATCCATACAAAACAGCGAAAACTATATTAATCAAATAAAAGATCTTCAGGAAGCATCGGAAATTAGTAAAGATGTTATCGAAGATTTATGTAATCAACTAGAAAATTATGAAAAAAATGCATCGAAAATTAAATCCGAACTTGAAAGCGTGAAAGGAGCTGCTGCAATATTGAAAAGCGAACGAGAAATTTACAAAAATAAAGAAATCGAAGCCAGAAAAGAATTACAGCTAGTAAATAACGTAAACAAAGCACTGAAAAATGAAGTAAAACTGTACCAAAATGAAATTGAAATTTATAAAAATAGTGAACTGGAGATAAGAAAAGAACTGGATAAAGAAAAAATTAACGTAGAAAAGCTGAAAAATGAGATAGAAAAATTGAAGAATACAGAAAATCTAGTGGAAGAACAACTAAAAACGGAAATAAATATTAACAACAACCAAAGAACCGAATTGGAAATTTATAAGAACAGAATTAAAATTTATAAAAACGAATTGGAAGTTTATGAAAATGAAATGATGATTTATGAGAATAAAATAAATGAAAAGGAGGATATGGCACATGATAAAATATTACAATCAACAATGCCATTATACATCAGTATAATTGCCTGTATTGTTTTTCCCTCTGTATTTGGCATCCTGAGAGCTTTTATTTAATTTTTTCAAGCAAGAGTCAAAAATGATAAACTTATACTTTAAAATCAGTTTATTTTTATGAATTTTTTTTTACTAAATCGAATTTTTCCTTTCACAACAAAATTTTAAATAAAACAGTTTTTCGATAAGACTATGAAAATAAAAATTATTACAAAATAATTCAGAATCGATGGTATTTTTATTCTTCAAATTTTTGTTTTATTTTATTAACATTGAATTTTATTTAATCTAAAAGTATATAAACGAAACATTAAAAAGATAACAAATTCTGTTTTACTTCTAACTTTTCTAAAATAATTCATAAAATCATAAATAAAAAAGAGACGTAATTAAGAAACTATACATTGAAAATATTTTATTAAATAAAAAATATTTTTAAAATCATTTTTCAGAATTATAAGACATACTCGTGAGGAGAGTGTCTTATAATTCTGAATTTTTAAATATAATTTTTAGAAACTAAACTCTTTCTGCCATATGGCACTAAGAGGGCATCTTTTTCGCAAGTCTATGAATGGGCAATGAAAACCTGGCATCCCCAAAAGTAAAAGAAAAAGAAACACTAGTAAATGGTTCAAAATATTTTTCTAATTAAAATTTATTTTTTATTTATATTGTGCTGTATGTTCTACTTCTATATTATTTATGAATTAGCGGTCGCATAAGATAGAAATTTTATTGAATTCGCATTAAAAAGTTTTTTATTCGTTCAATTCGGCTCCCCAAGATTAAATATTGAGTGCGCCATTGTATAAAAGTAACTGTCGACGTTCGTAGACAAAAGCATTATAAAGTTTTTTTTCTTACTATTAATTGTTACTATTAAAAAATGCGGAGAGCGTCGTAAAGATAGAATCTTATGGTATTTTATAAAACAGTAAATTTCATAAAATATTATCGCTCGATCATCTCAGTAACTTTACTAAGCTTAATAAAAATTTATATTTTAATTTAGTAAATGTGTTTTCTATTTAAAAATTATTATCGATATTGAAACGATGAATACAGACATACGGTATTATATTCAAAGTTTATCAATTCATAAACGCGTTAAAAAATATAACATGAGTTTTTTTTTATTATACATATATATGTTATTTCCAGCAAAAACTATATTTATTAAAGTTTAACTGGTCTACTGACATAAAAATATGGATAAACACGATCCGTCGTCATTATGATAATAACCATCCTCACACACGCAGCGAGGAACAAATAGTTTCAGACAATCGCTTTGGATAATTCCAGAACGACATGCTTTATCACATCTTCTTCCACTTGCATCAAAAATATTATGTGGTTCTGGACAATACTGTTTGTCAACTAAAAAAAAGATTTAAATTAGTTCTACTAATTACATTAAAAAACACTTTTTGAACTAAAAATATATAATTGAATTTAATTAATTATATTTTGTAAGTATTAAGAATGTATAGGATATGTAAACGGACTTACTTTCACTTACAGCAGATGAATAAATTATTAAAGCGAAAAATAAAATCCATTTTATACAGTTTGCAGTCATTATCAGTGAGTTTTTATGAATACTGCAGCATTGATTTCTTTTTATATATTATATAACGCATTTATTAGAATATCATATTTTATTTGGTAATAAAAACAATTTGAACAATCCTAAACTAGTGTCATGTGTTATTTAAAACACAAATATTTATTATGAAATTTGCTTTAAAATATGACACTTGATAATTATATTTATTTAAAATATTATGTATAATAACTATATTGTATTTTAAACTATTTTTTAATTAAAAATAAATGTCGAATAAACAAATTTGCTATTTTACAATTATTTTTAATTCTAATAAATTAATAAATGCTCAGAAAGCAGATAGTCAAGGCAGAAAAGGCACCAATTCTAAGAGAATTCAATAGATCAACTGGGATCTCTCAAAGCCCTTTACTACTCCTTTTAAGAACACATGAAAGAGAAAAACGATACGAAAATACACTACATGTATATACAATTCCGTAAAAATGATTTTTAAAGCAGCTCTCATCAAAATATCACAAAAATTTACATGTTCAAAATATTAGTAAACAAATAATTAATATCAAAACATAGCCAAATAATCATAAAATAAAATATTTTCAGAGATCTCTAGATAAAATATCACAAAAGTTAAAAGTATAATAACTTTAAAACTTCGTAATTTAATATTATTCATAATAAAGATAATGATACGAATAAAAATATAAAAATTGAAATAAAATTATTAAAAACTTCAATAGGTATTTATTTAGAATTAAATAACATAGCCTACGAATTAATATTGTGCTTGCTATTAGAAAATTAGAAAAAATAGAACATAAAAATTAATTAATTAATTAAGTAATGTACAAGTTTAATGTACAAATATATTTTTAAAACACAAAAATAATGTCCCTATTATAACTGAAAAAGTTAAAACGACTACCGGATGACCGAGCAGTTAAGGTGAAAACTTACCGCTCTGAGGGACCAGGAATCGATCCTGAAGAGTTGACGTCCGCTTGTTAAAAAGGCATTCTTAATGCCCGCAGGCAAAAAGAGTTTTTAAAAATCTAGTCAGTTAAAAATTTTACATGCTCTTGTATAGCCTAATTACAGCGGAAAATTGTTATAAAAACGAAAGAAATTATATACGATGAAATATTTCTTTTGATGGTTTGATTTTAGTAACTTCTATTATTTCATCGAATATGTTAGATTTTGTTCTTATTAACTTTGGCAACGCAACACTTGGCGATCTGTCTAGGGTGAATGCCTTCCGGGAGGTCTTTTTAAGTATAACTGGCCCCTATTCATGCGTTACAGACGTGGAAAAAACCCAGAAAACTCCACGTGGCCAGCCCATCCTGGCGAGGTACGAACCCACGACCGAATTTCCAGAGTTCAGGGAAAAGAACCGCTTGGCTATTGGTAGCCAATAGCCAAGCCAAGCAATATTGAATTAAAATAGTTTTATATCAAAGTTTTTTTTTATTAACCATGGAGTTAATTAATTTGTTATTGTGAAATATCAGCAAATGAAAGTTATTTGACAGATTTTATGTAAAATTGATTATTAATTTAAAAGAATATCGACACGAATTTGTGATCTTACTGGATATGTCAAAACGTGTTGTGCACATTTTTGAATGTGCCATGACACAAAATTCGCGTTGTGGCAAGATCTGAGAAGTCAAAACGTGTCGTGGTCGATTTTTCGCTCAATGAGCGAAAAATCGACCACAACGCGTTTTGGGTTTTTGGTCCTAACATATCTAAGTCCTAACATATCATCACAACAATGGATAAACAACATTATCCATCGTTGGCACATCGATGTCCGTACCGTAGATTCTAAGAAATTGTAGTTGGATAGTAAGAAACAGTAGCTATAATATCGACTACGACAAAACAAGACAATTTCTCTTATTATAATGGGCCTGACTCCTGACTCTGATGATCGGTAAACATCCGTAAGAAAAGAGAACGAATTCAAAATAAGTTAGAAAATTAGGAATGGATTCAAAGACGATTTCAAATTCATGGCGATTCTCTGAAATCTTATTATGCTCTATTACACAACTGAAGATAACGTAAAATATTAAGGAAATATTTCAATGTCATCGCACTTTTATAACATAATCATTACGATTTGTACCGCTTTATCATGATGTGTAATGCCATTGAATAGAATAATAATTAAAATCTTATCAGACTTAATTAACGGAGTGAAATTATTAGAAAACAATTTTGTATTAACTATAAATTCTAAATTCATGTTTATTTTCTTTATAAATTAATATTTTAAAATAATTTTATTTGATTTTTAAGAAAATATATTCATTTTCAAATAGATAATAAAGATAATTTAAGCCAGCATTAAAAGTGTTTAATAATAAGTTATGAAAAATGAATATCATCACCATCATCATCATCATCATCATCAACCGTGAGCTCATTGCCCGTTGGTGTCTGATGCTTTTTCTACCATTTCCTTCCATTTCTCTCTATTCACTGCCTAGTTTCTCAATTCCTGTACATTCGCTCCACACCACTTCTTTACGTCATCAATTCATTCTCTATATGATCTGCCTCCTTTGTTAGATCCAATCATAATCCATAGACTAGAGTTAATTTACCTGTTTTCATTCATTCTTGTAATATGTCCAAACAGTTGAAGTTTTCGTTGTATAATTTTTTGTAAGTAATTATTTTTCATATATATCCTATTATAAAGTTCTTCGTTTGTGACTTTCTGCATCCATCCTATTTGTAAGATCTTTCTGTAACAGTTTCTTTCAAATGTTNGTTTTCGTTGTATAATTTTTTGTAAGTAATTATTTTTCATATATATCCTATTATAAAGTTCTTCGTTTGTGACTTTCTGCATCCATCCTATTTGTAAGATCTTTCTGTAACAGTTTCTTTCAAATGCTAATATCTTTCTTTCCATATCTTTTGTTATTATTCATTCTTGTGATATGTCCAAACAGTTGAAGTTTTTGTTGTATAGTTTTTTGTAAGAGATTCTTTTCATATATATCCTATTATAAAGTTCTTCGTTTGTGACTTTCTGCATCCATCCTATTTGTAAGATCTTTCTGTAACAGTTTCTTTCAAATGTTAATATCTTTCTTTCCATATCTTTTGTTATTAGCCTTATTACCCATGTCTCACAGGCATAAAAATGAATATACCCTGTAATAATCGTTTTCTCTTACTTGTAATAGCAAAAATAATCTCGGAAGCTAGCTTTAAGCTTGAATTAGTGTTCACTGGAACAGTAACAGGAAGTATTACACAATATTACCTAATAAGAATTTAAAATTTAAAGATAGATGAATTCAATGAAATTTATTAAATAGTGTATTATCTAAGCATTTTCTTATGTAAATTTAATATTAAATAAATATTTTTAATAAGATAAAAATTTCTTATTATTAATACAATATATTATTTTGTAACATAGTAACATTTTTCTGTTTGAATTGCCAAATGGGAGGGGTTAAATTTCCTAAAAATCCCATATGTACGACCTTGAATTGCTGTATTTTTAAATAGAAAGAATTACAAATATTGCTATTTCGAATAAACTTTTGTAACTTTATAA